TTTCTAATCTAATGATTGGTATTTAGGGCAGTTTTTTGCAAGCAAAGAAGCATTTTGTATTTTTGTACAGGTAGGTAATCCTTGATTTACAACAGTTACAATGGCACTGAAAAAAGTGACTTATGACTGTTTTTCACACTTACAACCATTGCAGCAAACTGTCATTAGGACAAAGAAGCGATGTCACATGACCACCTGGCTACACCCACCCGGTCACATGAAGCACAGCAGTTGTGAAATGAATGACATGGTTGTTAAGAATGCTGCAATGGGCATAAATGATGACCGGTCATAAGTGTGAGGACTGGTCAAAAGTGCAAGGACCTGTCAGAAATCACTTTTTTTCAGCCCTCTGGGTAGTCCCTATGTGCATAGGGACTACTCAGAGGGTTGAAAAAGTTATTTTTGACCAGTCCTTGTACTTTTGACTGGTCCTCGCACTTATGACTGTCCTCACATTTTACATTTTGTGCCCGTGTCACTGTGGTGAAGCAGCTGTGAAATGAGTGACACGGTTGTTAAGAATGCTGCAATGGGCAGAAATGTGAGGATGGTCATAAGTGCGAGGACCGGTCAAAAGTGCAAGGACTGGTCAGAAAAGACTTTTTTCAGCCCTCTGAGTAGTTCCTATGCACCTAGCCATGCCCACCCAGTCACATGACCAGCTAGCCACACCCACCAAGTCATATGACCACCAAGCCATGCTCCCAAATAAGCCACACCCACAGAACCGGTTGTTAAAAAATTTGAATCCCACCACTGCTTTGACCTCCCTCACAAAATGAGTGGGTAGCTAAGAAACATGTTAGGGCCCCTGCATTGCTGAAAAAGTTTCACTCGAAGTATCCTAACATACCGAACTAACCCTCTATGATGTTCATCTTTCTGTTCTCTCTTACAGGTAATCCCCTATTTTTTTTGAAGGGGGGCAGCATGTCAGATCCCTATCATGATACTGCCAGTCAAGTGGGGAGGGGACCCCAGATTCTTGTACTCACTTATTGCTCTCATCCTGTTTTCCTATGTATCCTGTAATTCCCTAGTTTATAATTTTTACCCTGTCACCTATTCTGCCCTGTATTTTGAGTTACCTTGGGAGATGTACAAGGGGGGGAGGGCCATCTATTTTCTTTCAGTTTGGAAGCCTCACAGAAGAAACACATTAGAACCAATCCTTATCTCTTTCTCAGGACAACTGTTTCCACAACATCTTCGCAATTGTGGATTGGCTCATTGAACATCAAACTGAGAGGAGGGGTTTCTAACCACTTTATCCTAACAGAAATGACTCGGGGTCATTCAGACCCTTTGCTTTGCTTTCGTCTTGCAATCACTCCCTGTCAATAAAAGGTTCCTTTTGAAATGCTGCTGTCTCAAGAGTCTGTACTTTCTTGATTGGGGAGTAGAGGCAGGATTTTACACCCATCCAATCTGACCTAGTGATGTCATATTATTATCACTGAAGACTCTGGTGTTTACAACATAAATATATCTATTTTGTGAGTGGTTTAACAATAACTAATAACTATCACAAATGTAGGCTTGTTTGCTTTCCTATTTAAAAAAGTTTTTAAAATGTTTGTCATTTCACTGGTTATGAATCCATAGCTCATAACCATTCCTTTATTTTACAAAGGTTTAAAAACATGAGACTAACAATTTAAACTTGCAATATAATTTGATTTTCATATAAAGAGAACACTAACCACTGGAGGTAACTGATGGGGTAAGAAGAAGACCTCATCCCTGTGCCATCCATCTCCTTACTTTTAGTTTTATGCATAGCTTTAAAAATGTTAAGTGTTTGCAATTAATCTTTATTATTGTCTGTAAGTTGTCCATAGTTGCCTTATAGGTGAGAGGAGTAGCATCTAAAATAAATAAATGAAGATTTTATAAAATTTATTTATTTATTTATTTATTTATTTATTTATTTATTTATTTATTTTATTTATTTATTTATTTATTTATTTATTTATTTATTTATTATTTATTTATTTGATTCATTTGTATCCCGCCCTTCTCCTAGTGGACTCAAGGCGGTGCACAGCCAAAACTAAAACACATACCAATACAAAATTTAAAATTTTTAAAAGAATTATATGACTTTGGCCCAAAATTTAAAACATTCAAACTAAAACCCATTGACAATTTAAAAGGCTAAAAAAAGGGGGGGGCGGGTTTCACACCAGCCCTGCTTGATGAAAAAGAAAAGTTTTCAGGGCACGGCGAAAGACCCAGAGATCCGATATCCTTTGTATTTCCGGGGGCAAATCGTTCCAGAGGGCAGAAGCTGCCACAGAGAAAGCCCTCCCCCTGGGGGTCACCAGCCGACATTGCCTGGCTGACAGCACCCTGAGGAGTCCCTCTCTGTGGGAGCGTACTGGTCAGTGGGAGGCTATCGGCGGCAGAAGGCGGTCCCGCAAATACCCAGGTCCTATGCCATGGAACGCTTTAAAGGTGGTGACCAACACCTTGAAGTGCACCCGGAAGACCACTGGAAGCCAATGCAGCTCACGCAGGAGAGGTGTCACATGGGAGCGCCCTCTCGCCCCATAATCCCCTGCGCGGCCGCATTCTGCACCAGTTGGAGCCTCCGGGTGCTCCTCAAGGGGAGCCGCATGTAGAGAGCATTGCAGTAGTCCAGGCGGGAAGTGACGAGTGCCTGAGTGACTGTGCGTAAGGAGTCCCGATCCAGAAAGGGACGCAACTGGCGAATCAGGCGAACCTGATAAAAAGCCCCCCTGGCCACGGCCGTCATATGCTCTTCTAAAGACAGCCATGCATCCAGGAGGACACCCAAGTTGCGAGCCCTGTCCGTGGGGGCCAATAACTCACCCCCAATAGCCAGTGATGGCACCAGCTGGCTATATTGGGACACCGGAAGCCACAGCCACTCGGTCTTGGAAGGGTTGAGTTGAAGCCTGTTTCTCCCCATCCAGATCTGCATGGCCTTCAGGCACTGGGACATCACTTCAAGGGCATCGTTGGGATGGCCTGGGATGGAGATGTACAGCTGAGTATCATCAGCGTACTGATGGAACTCCACCCCAAAGCCACGTATGATCTCACCCAGCGGCTTCACATAAATGTTGAAGAGATAGAACCACCGCAAAATGGTGCCCCCCACTCCCACTCCTCCAACCGGCGCAGCAGGATACCATGGTCGATGGTATCAAAAGCCTCTGAGAGATCTAACAGGACCAGGATAGAGGAGCAACCCCTATCCCGAGCCCTCCAGAGATCATCCACCAACTTGACCAATGCCGTTTCCATGCTGTGCCCAGGCCTGAAGCCGGACTGGAGCGGATCCAGATAGACAGCTTCATCCAGGTACCGAGGAAGCTGTCGCGCCACCACACTCTCAACAACCTTCGCCAAGAAGGGAAGGTTGGAGACCGGACGGTAGTTAGCCAAAACAGCCAGATCCAGAGCAGGCTTCTTGAGAAAGGGCCTCACCACTGCCTCTTTCAAGGCGGATGGCAAGACACCCTCACTCAAGGAAGCGTTGATAATCCCCTGGAGCTAGCCTCGCGTAACCTCCCGGGAGGCCAGCACCAACCAGGAGGGACACGGGTCCAATAAACATGTGGTCGCATTCAGCCACCCCAGTATCCTGTCCACGTCCTTGGGAGCAACAGGGTCGAACTCCTCCCAAATGGCAGTCTCAAGACCGGCACCCATCATCCCGTCTGTACCTACTCAGTCAAAGACCAAGCCTTCCCGAATCTGAGTGATTTTATAGTGCAGATACTGGACAAAATCCTCAGCCCAACCCTGCAGGGGATCCTCCCGCACTCCCAGATGCATAATGCATAATGTATAATTAATGAATATACAGCATGTATGTGTATGTGTATGTACACTATTATATATGTACACTATATATTCATTCAGAGGGCCTTCTGTGTGGGGGCTCCCACCCTCTGGAATCAGTTGCCCCCGGAGATAAGAAGAATCCAGGACCTCAATGCCTTCCGTTGTTCCCTGAAAACCTATCTTTTTCAGCAAGCCGGGTTGGCTTAAGAAGAAATTTTAAAAATTTTTTAAATTCTTTTAATTAGTCTGTGATTCTTAACTTTCGGGCCAAAATTTATATATATTTTTAAATGTTTTAATATTTGTATTCTATGTTTTTTATCTTGGCTGTACACCGCCCTGAGTCCTCAGGGAGAAGGGCGGTATATAAATTGGAAATTAAATTAAATTAAATTAAATTCATATGTTCTGTATGTGCGGATACAAAGCAGAACCTGAAAAATAAGCAAACATCTGGTAGTCTCATCTTAAATTTTAAAGGAGAAATAATTGAACAACTTGCAAAAAGTGACCTTTGTGAACTAGTGAACATATTCAATAGATTTACATTTTGGGACAAGTTTAAAGTGATATAACCAGACGTGCTTTAGTGACATTAAAGTTAGTCTGATTACTGCATTTTTTAGTTTTTGTAATTTTAAAATGAATGCTACTTTGTTAAGAATTTTTATAGGTAAGCTTAGTAGTGAACCATGCAATGAAAAACAAATAATAAGGAACTAACCATTCCTGTGATTAATCCATGCTCTAAGAAACTATTTATATCTTATGTTCCAGTTGCTTTATAAACAGCATGTTTATCCCTGTCACGCATTACAGTGGATTATCTTAAAATGGATTGTGGTGACTGTAATTCTGTTCTGCCCAAAGGAGATCTCTTGGGATAAATAACAAGTTCAGGTATATCTGTGGCCTCAGAATAAAAACTATCTAAACAGAATATTGAACTTCAATTTGTAATACTATTCATCATCAAATTCTTCAATATCCCTCTTTTTTTAACATATTGGCTATTTCTCAGTTATTTCTTTAAAAAAATAAAATGGCTGGCAAGAAGCGAAGAAATTTATCTTACAAAAAGGTAGTGATATATTAATTGGAAATTCTAGTTTGACCTGCAAGCTACATTGTAAACAATACTTTGAAAATATTGAGGTGTAATTCTTCGTATTATTTTCTAGGCTATGAGAAGTCAGAAGTTTCTTGAACAAAGTATCCACTCTGCTCACGAGATTGACAAAACCCTTCAATTAATTCAAGAGTCTCTGGCCTTCATTGATCAACAATTAACAGGATATATTACAGACCGAATTGATGCAGCACATGTACCTCAAGAAGCACAGGTGAGCCATATAACATGTAATTGCATTAAATAGTTCTATCTTTCAAGGAATCAGTAAGAATTTATTTTATTAGATTGTTCTAAATTTACAATGATTCTAGAATTATCATTGATCTAATTCTTACAAAATTGCTAGCCGGCAAATGAAACAGGAACTGCATAAAATCAAAAAGATCACATATATTTTCAAGTAAAATGATCTTTTATGTTTATTTTATCTTTCCTGATGCTAATGTAATATTATTTTATCACACCAAATTAAAAGTTTGCAAATGTTTATATTGTAAAATTAAAGAAGCAAAGTGAATACTATAATTTTTTGAAGTGCTAATTTTATCATGCAATTAAGTTACTCATCGTGGTTAGTATTTTCAATTAACTTATATTTACACCCCAAGTGAATTCTTATTGAATTACATACAGATATCTGCATTTAGTTATTTGGACAATTTTATGCATATTGTCTTATATAAAAGAGCAGAATTATATAGATAAATGAAAGCCAATTTTATAATTGTAGTTAAGGCATCAGACTGGAAACCATGAGACCATAGTCCTGCCTTATACTCAAAGCCAGCTCAGTGACTTTGGGTTAGTCATTTTTTCTCAGCTCTAGGAAAGAGACAGTATATTTACTGAATGTATGTATGTGCGTGTGTGCGTATGTGTGTGTATTCCCCATTCAATCACTTTGATTCTTGGAGATTTCCAGGACAAGTCCCTGAAGTTTTCTTGGCCAGGTTTTTCCAGAAGTGGTTTGGCCAAGAACCTGATCAATATTTGTTTGTTTGTTTGTTTATTAAATTTTTATGCCTCACATTTCACCAAGAGGTGACTCCAGGTGGCATACAGCTAATTAAACAAGATAAAGCATTAAATATTAATAAATATTCATGTTAAAATTTACTTAAAATTAACAAAGATGGCAAGGAAGAGAGCAAGATGTACATGGGTGAAAGTGAATCATCTCAGTCCATTAACCATCTCAGTATGACATGACCCCATTGGGGCCCCAAGCCAATGGCAGAGCCAAGTTTTCAAGCCTTTTTGGAAGGCCAAAATGGTGAGTGTGAATCTCACTTCCATGACATTCCAAAGATCAGGAACCAAAACTCTTTTTCTGGATACTGCCAACTGGAATTCCTTTACTGCTGGGGTCTACAGCATGCATGGGTGGGGCAGGCCAATCCCATTGGAGTGAGATGGTTCCTTGGGTAATCTGGACCCATGCCACAAAGGTAGTTTAAAGGTAGTAACAAACACCTTGAATTGGACCTGGAAGTAAACTGGGTGGGTACTGTATGTCTGGATCAGTTCAACCCCATCCAGAATTAAAGATGGTAAAGTCCCTGATCCTGAAGCTCATGCACCAAAAGCCATTCAGTCTTACCATTATCTTACCATTAATATTATTATTGGCTTTATTTTTTGACATCTCATCCAACTAATAAATTATATAGAACTCAGACAAATCATCCTTTAATACTTTAATGTTAAATATGATTTCCATTTTATGAAGAAACATAATAAAACAATAGAAAACTAGAAATATATATCACAGAAATTGAACTTGAATTATCTTTTTCTTAATACTTTGAAGGGATTACTACAAATAATACTATTATTTTTGTAGCTCTAGTTGTAAATATTTTAATTTCTTCTGTTCATGCTGTGGTGTTTAATTATTTATTTATAGCTTTCATATAGTTACCCAATACAAATAATGCAACTCTGAATAGGTTACAAAAAGTTAATATTGGAACACAATTATATTTTGAACACACACCTCAAATTTATCATTATTCATTTATTCTTTTTATTATTAAATTTATATACCACCCATCTCTCTGTTTGGGTCTAGGTTTTGGAATGACTCTTATACAGTTCCATCCATATTTTACAAATCTCCACCTGCACAGTGTCTATTTCTGTTTTTGGGCCATCTGTGAAAATATATATCAAATTTGATCTAGAGCGTCAGCCAACTTCCAGGGCAAAGTTTTGAAGTATACAATTGAATATAGATGAACTTAAAATCCATTCTATAGACAATGCATAATCTATTACGGTACTGATACTATTGGAATTCAACTTTAATAATTTAAATTTATTTATTCTTTGTGTAAAGACTTTGTGTAAATTCAGACATATTAATCTTGTAAAAATAATATAATTTGATTCAAATATGTCTTCTCTCCACTACCACCACCTTTGCATCCACCCAGAAAATTCAATCAGAGTTGACAAGCCATGAGATTACCTTGGATGAAATGAAGAAACATAACCAGGGTAAAGATTCTGCCAAAAGGATGTTCTCTCAAATTGATACTGCACAGGTTTGTGAATTTAATTTGCTTTTGCAGATTAATTTAAAATCTACTTTCAAATATTCAAAATAAAGTTTAATTATGTGTTAATCATGCCATGACCTGAAAAAGAACTAAGATTGTGCAAAACTTTGGATCTGATTCAAAAATATGCTTTGTAGTACACAGATTCTTGGTTAGTCTAAAGTTTATAATGATCACTGCATAAAGGACATGGGATTTATAAAACTAATATTTATTTATTTATTTTATTCAATTTGTATACCGCCCTTCTCCTAGTAGACTCAGGGCGGTGCACAGCCAGAACTAAAACACATACCAATACAAAATTTAAAATTATTAAAAGAATTACATAACTTTGGCCCAATTTGAAACAATTCGAATTAAAACCCATTGACAATTTAAAAGCTAAAAAACTAAAAAAGACTAAAAAGACTAAAAGGGAGGGGGGTTCACACCAGCCCTGCTTGATGGAAAAGAAAAGTTTTCAGGGTACGGCGAAAGACCCGGAGATCCGATATCCTTCGTATCTCCGGGGGCAAATCATTCCAGAATGGTCGGTGGGAGGCTATCGGTGGCAGAAGGCAGTCCCGCAAATACCCAGGTCCTATGCCACGGAGTGCTTTAAAGGTGGTAACCAGCACCTTGAAGCGCACCCGGAAGACCACTGGAAGCCAATGCAGCTCACGCAGGAGAGGTGTCACATGGGAGCGCCCCCTCGCCCCCATAATCCCCCGCGCGGCCGCATTCTGCACCAGTTGGAGCCTCTGGGTGCTCCTCAAGGGGAGCCCCATGTAGAGAGCATTGCAGTAGTCCAGGCGGGAAGTGACGAGTGCCTGAGTGACTGTGCGTAAAGAGTCCCGATCCAGAAAGGGACGCAACTGGTGAATCAGGTGGACCTGATGAAAAGCGCCCCTGGCCACGGCTGTCATATGCTCTTCTAAAGACAGCCGTGCATCCAGGAGGACGCCCAAGTTGCGAGCCCTGTCCGTGGGGGCCAATAACTCACCCCCAATAGCCAGCAATGGCACCAGCTGGCTATATCGGGACGCCGGAAGCCACAGCCACTCGGTCTTGGAAGGGTTGAGTCAAAGCCTGTTACTCCCCATCCAGATCCGCACGGCCTCCAGGCACCAGAACATCACTTCAAGGGCATCGTTGGGATGGCCTGGGGTGGAGATGTACAGCTGAGTATCATCAGCGTACTGATGGAACTCCACCCCAAAGCCATGGATGATCTCACCCAGCGGCTTCACATAAATGTTGAACAGAAGGGGCGAGAGGACCGACCCCTGAGGCACCCCACAAACAAGGTGCCTCGGGGTCGACCTCTGCCCCCCCTGCCAACACCGACTGCGACCGGTCAGAGAGATAGGAGGAGAACCACCGCAAAACAGTGCCCCCCACACCCAACCCCTCCAACCGGCGCAGCAGGATACCATGGTCGATGGTATCGAAAGCTGCTGAGAGATCTAACAGGACCAGGATAGAGGACAACCCCTATCCCAAGCCCTCCAGAGATCATCCACCAACGCGACCAATGCCGTTTCCGTGCTGTGCCGAGGCCTGAAGCCAGACTGGAGCGGATCCAGATAGACAGCTTCATCCAGGTACCGAGGAAGCTGTCGCACCACCACACTCTCAACAACCTTCGCCAAGAAGGGAAGGTTGGAGACTGGACGGTAGTTAGCCAAAACAGCCAGATCCAGAGCAGGCTTCTTGAGGAGGGGCCTCACCACCACCTCTTTCAAGGTGGATGGCAAGACACCCTCACTCAAGGAAGCGTTGATAATCCCCTGGAGCCAGCCTCGCGTAACCTCCCGGGAGGCCAGCACCAACCAGGAGGGACACGGGTCCAATAAACATGTGGTCGCGTTCAGCCGCCTCAGTATCCTGTCCACGTCCTTGGGAGCAACAGGGTCGAACTCCTCCTAAATGGCAGTCTCAAGACTGGCACCCATCATCCCGTCTGTACCTACCCAGTCAGAGACCAAGCCTTCCCGAATCTGAGTGATTTTATCATGCAGATACTGGACAAGCTCCTCAGCACGACCCTACAAGGGTTCCTCCCGCGCTCCCAGATGGAGGAAGGAGTGGGTCACCCTAAATAGGGCAGCCGGGCGATTATCTGCTGATGCAATAAGAGCAGAAAAATAGTTACATTTTGCTGCTTTTATCGCCACTAGGTAAGTCTTAATATGAGATCTTACCAGTGTTTGGTCGGATTCGGAGCGACTAGATCTCCAACTGCTCTCTAGGCATCTTTTCTGGCACTTCATCTCCCTCAGCTCCTTGGAGAACCAAGGAGCCAGGTAGACTCGGCGACAGGTCAGAGGCCGCACAGGCACGACTTGGTCCAAAGCGTCAGCGGCCGCCCTATCCCAGGCGGCCACCAGGTCCTCAGCCGAGCCATAAGTCAGAGCCTCAGGAAATGGCCCAAGCTCCATCTGGAACCTATCAGGATCCATCAGGCGCCTGGGGCAGAACCATCTGGTCTCTTCCGCCTCCCTGCGGTGGGATGTGGCGGTTAGAAAGTCAAGCCTAAGAAGGGAATGATCCGACCATGACAAGGGCTCAATCATTAACTCCCCTATCTCGAGATCATTCATCCACTGTCCAGAGACAAAAATCAAGTCCAGAGTGTGTCCTCCCGTGTGAGTGGGTCCATGAATTAATTGGGTCAGGTCCATGGCTGTCATGGAAGCCATGAACTCCCGAGCCGCCTCAGACGCTTCGCCGACAGACGGCAGGTTAAAGTCCCCCATGACCATAAGCCTGGGGGTCTCCACCGCCACCTCGGCAATCACGTTGAGAAGCTTGGGCAGGGCCGCCAACACGTGGCAGGGAGCCAGGTACGTAATCAGCAAGCCCATTTGCCTCCCTTGTCCCCACTTCACAAGGAGGGACTCACATCCGGCTATCTGAGGTACAGTGGCCTCCCTTTACCAGAACCGCCACCCCCCCACTGCTCCCCTGGGACCTCGGCTGATGGAATGCATAGAAGCCTGGAGGGCACATCTCAACAAGGGGGACCCCACCTTTCTGGCCCAACCAGGTCTCCGTAATACCTACCAGGTCCGCACCCCCCTCCTGAACCAGATCACAAATGAGAGGGGCTTTATTTACCATGGACCTGGCATTGCACAACATCAACCGGAGGCCCAGGGCCTGAGGATCTGAACAACCCAGGGTGTGAGACGAGCATTGAGGGCCGGAGCACGCAATCGCCCGCAGACAGCGAGTGCGCCCTCCCCTAACACGATATGGCCCCCTGCTCCTGCCATATCTGCCCCTCCCACCGACAATGCCGATGGAAACGCCCTCCCCAATATAGGAACTAGCCCCCCCGCCCCCGACACCTGTGGGTTACCCCCCAAACCCACCCTGGTCATTACATTCTCCCTCCCACCCCTTAAAAAATGAATTAAAAATGCATACAAAGAACACTTAAAATCCCCAACTCCTTCGTGCCACCTCTTGGGATCCCACAACCCGTCTTTGAGGTATTTCTTAGCCAGGCCAGTGGGCCACTTCCAGGAATGGGGGGTATTCCTTAAAGCCCATAAGTCCAATCTTGAATATAATCGTGGAGCCATAGACAACCATAGAAGAGGGTGCGAAGAATGGCAAACAGGAGATGTTAATAGTGGGCTAGGAACTGGCTAAGATTCTCCCAAACATCAGGAACTTCCTCGCCCAGGCGTCCCCTCACAACACCTGGGTGGCATAGCTGGTAACCACCGTCGTCCTCTCACCACGACGGCATCCCGAAGTCCACTGGGAGTTCTCTCCGGTGGTATTCTCGGCCATTTCACAGCTCCCACCCCTGCATGGCCGGTTCAGTGTCATAGAACCACAACTGCCCTCACACGGCAGTGGGAATCCCCACCCAAGACAAGCCAGTTCCATGGGGGAGAAAAAACCAGCGCCTTCCCAGCTGTCCAAGTCCAAGTCCCAGCTCACTGATCGCTAGTCCTAGGCGGGGTCCCCAGATGGAAGTAAGGGGCCCAGGGTTCAACAACCCTCTCGTGGGGGGGGGCTAGAGAAGTCATATAGGATTAATACCCCAAAGACCCCTCATGCCCGGGGAGTGCCCAGAAAAAAAACAATAGGCACAGCCGATGTCACTCCAGCTTGTAGTCCCGGCAGCAACCAGCAGAGAGCAGAGGCAGTCTTTTTGTTATCCCATGGGTACAGCAGGTCTCGTCATCGCCATTGGACTAGTGAAGTGAGAACCGAGCCAGCGAGCCACCTCCACCTCCCTTCGGCTCCGCCACTTCAGCTCTCGCCCCCTTCGTCCAGCCGGCCCGAGACCCCCGCAGACTTCCCAGGCGACCCTCTCTGACACTCCTGGAGAGGGCCCGCGCCGACCTCGCTCCTCGGCCTCTCAACGACCTGGACTGCCAACTCCGGCGCTCCAGCCTCTCCAAGGCCTCGCAGCGCCATCGCCAATTGCCAAATTCCAACGCTGAGAGGCCGGACGCCGTTTGCAACTCGCCGAGCCCCACCGCAGCCATCGGTCTCGCCCAGGCAGCCTCGCCCTCGCCCAGGCAACAACAGTGACAGTGAGCCGTTTCAAGGACTCACGACGACCCCTCTGGTCCACTGGTAAATCCTCTCACCGTCCATGTCGGGGGGGGTAATAAACAACACCCCCAAATAGTCCTGTTTAGCCAAAAATCGCTCACCCTCGGCAGAGGCTCAACACGCAGCGGCCATTTTGAAGGTGGAAGTTTAGGCAGTTGATTAATTTAGCACGTTAATTAGCCACTGCACATTCTATTTATTACATGACAAAGCTTGACCACCCTTAAAGTAATAAAATAAATTGAATCTAAAATTATGGTATGTTAATTAAACTGATCAAATGGCTGGGGATTTTTTTAAAGATATGGAGTTAACAGCTCATGGTGGGTAGCAACATAAAATGAAAGATATGACATGGTTTATCATGCAGAATTTCCAAACTCTGTTGAAACACTTTATGCAAAGGTAAACATATACAGTATGTTTCCTCCTCTTCCAGAAAAATTATTTATATAGTAGCTGTTCGTAGAATTTTGCTTTCAAATTACATTTCTGAGTAGATAACTCTTTTTCTTTTATATTCACATATTTTGCACCAACCATCAGAGGCTGATTGAATGTATTTAAGGAATAATATTTCTTAAAGAAATCCATGAATTTACATATTTTCTAAATTAAATGCATACAATTAACTGCTATTTCCATGCTGATAGTGAATTCTAAATATGAGATCACAACTATTTGTTATTTGTGTGAAGTGCTATACATCAAAATTTGAAAAAAAAAAGTTAATATAAATTAATCCATAGGCGAAGAAGAACTCTACAGTTGTTTTCAGTCATTTCTATGTAGATTGTCTATTGATTTTGGCTATCAGTCACATTTTATTTCTTTAAAATATGTTTCAGTCCAATTTTTTTTTGTTTGTTTGAAAATTTATTATATTACAATACAATACAGTTTAGTCAGTTAGACAGTGGTGTTTTCTACACGGGATTAAATTCATTCTTTTGTTATGACGCATCCTAATTTACAATTTACATATTCATCCTAATATTTACACTATCTCATACCTCTCCCTTATTCGGTTATCAATCCAGCTATACCTTGAGTTTACTCAAGCCCAAAATCTAAGAGAAAATTTTTACAAAATGTTTTATAGATGGCACTTAGATCCCCAAAAGCTAGCCTGTATGTACCCGAATTTACAACCTACATGTTGGAGATGTAAATGTGATGATGCAACGTATTTTCATGTATGGTAGACATGTAAGAAAATTAAGGCATTTTGGATTAAGATATGGTGGATTATACAAAATATTCTTAAAAGGAAGATAAAATTTACTCCACAGTTGTTTTTATTGGGTATAACTGTAGACTGTACAGTTATAGAGACTAATCTGATTTTGAACTTAACAACTGCAGCCAGACTTTTGGTGGCGCAATATTGGAAGAAGGAAGAACTACCTACTATTGAAGAATGGACATTAAAAGTAGCTAATCTGGTGGAGATGGCTAAAATTTCTGCATATTTGAAGGACTGTTCGAATGAAAGATATGTACTGGAATAGAGAAGATGGATTGACTATATACAAAACAAATACGGGACTAAAAAGTTGCAAATAGCTTATGAATGAAATATTTAGATGATTTTTTTTTCTACTTTGATATTTTAGTACCTATGGCAGAGTTAAAGAGTAAGGGGAAGTTAAGAGTTTATAGTTAGTTTGCTTATGTTAGATTATGTTTGTTAAATGCAATACCCTGTATTTTGCTCTGGGAAGTCGGGGAGGGGGAGGAAGAGGGGAATGGGTGGGGGAAGGGGGGGAATTTGTTTGTAAAATATTTTAAAACTTTTCAATTAAAAAAAAATCCATCTATACCAAAGTTTTATATGCTGTACTTTCAAAAAAATAGTAAAGTATAGAGATCTAAGCAGGGATGAAATCCAATAGGTTCTGATAGGTTCTGGAGAACCAGTAGCGGAAATTTTGAGCAGTTCGGAGAACCGGTAGTGGAAATTTTGAGTAGTTCGGAAAACCGGCAAATACCCCTTCTGGCTGCTCCCAGAGTGGGGAGGGAATGGGGATTTTGCAGTATCCTTCCCCTGGAGTGGGGTGGTAATGGAGATTTTGCAGTATCCTTCCCCTGGAGTGGGGGGAATGGAGATTTTGCAGTATCCTTCCCCTGCCACGCCCACCAAGCCACGTCCACCATGCCACACCACACCCACCAAGCCATGCCCACAGAACCAGTATTAAAAAAAATGGATTTCAGAACTGGATCTAAGATATATTGTACCCTACTTTAAGGGTTTAAGGAGAGTTATAAGTTTATTGAATTGGATTTATTATTGAAGTTAAAGCTTTGTGCTCATATCTTTCCTTCCTTATATTTTTTCAGAAAAAATTACAAGATGTCTTTATGAAATTTCGCTTGTTCCAAAAGCCAGCCAATTTTGAGCAGCGATTACAAGAAAGTAAAAGAATTTTAGATGAAGTAAAATTGCAAGTGCCAAAGTTGGAATGGAGAAGTATTGAGCAGGAAGCAATGCAGTCACAGCTGGATAATTGTATGGTAAGTATTTCAAAGGAAGTTATCTCTCACAATGTCATGCATTTTATTATCCTTCAGGCAAATTGCAAACATGAGTTACATTTCGTTTAAATAAAAATATAGTTCCTCTTTTCTTGTGTTCACTAGAAACAATATAAAATTCTTAGTGAAGTGAAATCTGAAGTGGAAACAATAATAAAAACTGGGCGTCAGATTGTACAGAAGCAGCAAACTGAAAATCCCAAAGAACTAGATGAAAGGCTGACAGCTTTGAAATTACAGTATAATGATTTGGGTGCCAAGGTATGCTTTCCATCTTATTTCCTGATACTTATGTAAAAGATAAGTACACTTTGTATTTATTTATTTTTGTTTTTTATTATAAAATATATAACTTTCATTACCGAATATTTAAAGTGGTCAACTAATGCAGACAATTTAAATGTAATTCATGCCCTTGAAGGAACAAATTATTGCATATTTTATTTCTCCCTGATCTCATATTCATACATACGGTATTTACATTAAGTATGAAAGAGAACAATATTTTTTTTTAAATGTAAGGCTTGGTCAAATGTACATGCTCACACATGTTCTTGTCCTTTATGCTTATATAAGCATTTATCAAACAATATCCATTTTTCACAATTATTTTTATGAATCTATATGCATGCTATGTTTTATTTTCTGTATATGTAGATATATATGTAGAATAATTCTCCACCATCTTTTAGACAAATTACTATAATGTAATACAACTGCATTTAGTTTGTGATATTACTTTTACATAGTATATAAAGTTATACTACAGTATAGTATTAGTAGTTATAGTGAATTTATAACAGTTATAATGGTTAGCTGTTTCTTATTTATATTTTATAAATAACTTGTTTTAGTTTACATACAAATTCAGTTTAAGGAGAGACCTGGAACAGAATTCATTCTTAATCTCAAGACTTGCTATACTTAGAATTAGAAAAAAATATTAAAATAACCTGTTCATGATTTTAATGTAATCTGAGATGAGATAATAGTGAAGTTGTAGAAGCTTACTAATGTAGATATTTTTAACATTTTCCCCAAAATTAGTCAGAAAAATTGCTTAATTCATATATATCATATCATAGTGGAAAATAATATTTAACTACTAGAAGCATGATAAACCCAAAACTACGAGTTGGAATGTAGAACCTGAGAAGCCTATATGAATCTGGGAAAACATACAACACTATATAAGAAATGTTCAAATACAATATCTCTATACTGGGAGTGAGTGAAATGCACTGGCCTGAAAATGTAACGTGTAGAATAGGAGATTATACTATCTACTACTCTGGTGAAAATAGTAAACATTATTGAAATGGAGTAGCTATAATAGTAAACAATCTTGTAAATAAATGCATCAAGTCCTTTATTCCTGTATCCGATAGAATGATGATGATCCAAATAAATAGTACGCCAGTAAATATGAATGTTATAGAAGTTTATGCTCCCACAGCTGACAGTGATGAGGAGGATTTAGAGAAGTTCTATGAAGACATAAGCAGTATATTGAAAACCCTAAAAAGTAATGATATCACAATACTCATGGGGGACTTCAATGCAAAAGTGGGAGAAGGGTGATGCTCCTGTAGTTGGAAACTTTGGCTTAGGAACCAGAAATGGTAGAAGTGACAGTTTTGTAGACTTCTGCAAGGAACATAGGCAATATGTGATAAATACTTTTTTCAAGTTACCAAAAAGACGCCTTTACACTTGGAGATCACCGGCAGATACACGAAATAATATAGTAAGGAACCAAATTGACTATTTTACAATAAACAAAAGATTTAGAAACTCAGTAAAATCAGCAAAGACATACCCAGGTGCAGATGTACCATCCGATCATAATTTACTACTTGCCGAAGTCCAGCTGAAACTAAAAAAGATGAAAAACCCAAATCCTCCTAAACCAAGAATTGACAGTGACTTCATCACTGACTCACATGGAGATAAGATAAAAGAAGAACTAGAAATTCATTTAAGAGAAACCAACAACTTAAATAATGAAGATGTAGAAGTGAAATGGAATAAATTTAAAAATGCAATAGTAGAGGTAACAGACTGAAAACAAAGAGAGAGGTATCACAAGAAAAAACAGTGGATGATGGATGAAATTCTTGATCTCAGGATGAAAGACGCTCTTATAAAAATAAAAACAAAGAAAAATACAATGAATTGCAGAAAACAATTAGAAGAAAAATTCGACTGGCAAAAGAAAAGTGGTTTGCAAAGAGATGCAAAGAAATAGAAGAAACAGAATGTATTCATGATAATTTCAACTTACACAAAAAAGTGAAAGAAGCAGCAGGTGTCTACAAAAAGAAAACCAACAACTTAGTTCCAAGTGGAAAATCATCTTGGATGAGGATAAAAAACTAAAAAGATGGAAGGAATATATTGAAGAACTTTTTTTTTTTATTGAAAAGTTTTAAAATGTTTTACAAACGAATTTCCCCCCCTCCCCCCACCCATTCCCTTCTCCCTCCCCCCCCTCGACTTCCCAGAGCAAAATACAGGGTATTGCATTTAACAAACATAATCTAACAAAAACAAACTAAATATAGACTCTTAACTCCCCCTTACTCTTTAACTCCCCCATAGGTACCAAAATATCAAAGTAAAAAGAAAATTATCTAAATATTTCATTCATAAGCTATTTGCAACTTTTTAGTCCCATATTTGTTTTGTATATAGTCAATCCATCTTCTCCATTCCAGTACATATCTTTCATTTGAACGATCCTTCAAATATGGAGAAATTTTAGCCATCTCCGCCAAATTAGCTACTTTTAATGTCCATTCTTCAATAGTAGGTAGTTCTTCCTTCTTCCAATATTGCGCCACCAAAAGTCTGGCTGCAGTTGTTAAGTTCAAAATCAGATTAGTCTCTATAGCTGTACAGTCTACAGTTATACCCAATAAAAACAACTGTGGAGTAAATTTTATCTTCCTTTTAAGAATATTTTGTATAATCCACCATATCTTAATCCAAAATGCCTTAATTTTCTTACATGTCCACCATATATGAAAATATGTTGCATCATCACATTTACATCTCCAACACGTAGATTGTAAACTTGGGTACATACAAGCTAACTTTTTGGGATCTAAATGCCATCTATAAAACATTTTATAAAAATTTTCACTCAGGTTTTGGGCTTGAGTAAATTTTACATTTCTAACCCATATTTTCTCCCATACATCCATGGTTATTGATTCCCCAAAGTTTTGTGCACGTTTTATCATACAATCCTTCACTAACTCGGTTTCTGAATCTATTTCTATCAATGCATTATACAGCCTTTTAAAATGCATTGGACTTTGATCCCTGATTTGTTTTATTAAATTTTCTTCATTTTGCAAAATACCAATTTTCTGATCTTCTTTCCATCTAGTATACAACTGTCCATACTGAAACCAAGTTTGAATTTTCCTTTCTTCTTTTAATACCTCTAAAGACTTTAATTGCAATGTGTCTCTTTCCAAGATAAAAAGCTCTTTATAAGTAATCACATCTTGTGTCTGTTCCACACTTATATTCTCTATCATATGTCTAGGTATTGTCCATATAGGTAATTTATTATTTAATTTGTATTGATACTTTTTCCATACACGTAATAATGCATTTCTTAATATATGACTTTTAAAATTCTTATCCACCTTTTTATCATATAGTAAATATGCATGCCATCCATATAACAAATCATACCCTTCAATATTCAATATTCTCTCTTCTGTTGAATTAATCCAATCACTAATTACTGAGAGCACGGCTGCCTCGTAATACAATCTTAAATTAGGCATTTTGAGACCTCCTCTTTCACGTGTATCTTGCATTAATTTTCGTTTTATTCTTGGTCTCTTTCCTGCCCACACAAAATTAGTAATACCCTTCTGCCATTCATTCAAATTTCCATCTTTTTTCAGTATTGGTATCATTTGGAAAAAAAATAAGAACTTTGGCAAAATATTCATTTTCACTGCAGCTATCCTTCCCAGCAATGATAATTGCAATTTTTTCCAATTTTCCATTTCCAATTCATAGTTATACTTATATAGTTTCGCATTTGATGTCGTAATATAAACCCCTAAATACTTAACCTTCTTTACTGATTCAAATCCTGTTATTCTTTCTATTTCTTCTTTTTGACTTGTAACCATATTTTTAATTATTTGTTTTCCCTGCATTTATTTTAAATCCAGATACTTGTCCATATTGATTAATTATATCCATTAAACCTATAACCGATTTTATTGGTTGGGTCAAGGTCACAACCCGGTCATCTGTGAATGCTCGTACCCTATAATCCTCATGCCTGATTTTAGTTCCCCTTATTTTATCTGAGCCACGTATTTTATTCAACAAAAATTCCAGAGTCAAAATAAACAGTAATGGAAATAAAGGACATCCTTGTCTTGTTCCCTTTTCTATATTGAAAGTTTCCGTTAAACTACCATTAACTATTACTTGTGCTGTTTGTTGCTGATATATTGCCTTAATAGATTGTATAAAGTATTCTCCAAATTGCATCTTTTCCATTATTTTCAATAAAAAATTCCAGTTCAATTGATCAAACCTTTCTCCGCATCTAAGAATATTAGCACCGCAGGGACCTGGTTGTTTTTTCCCAAATACTCCAATATATTAACTATTTGTCTTACATTACTCTTCATATATCGCCTATTAATAAAACTGGTTTGGTCATTGTGAATCATTTGTTACATAACTGGCAACAACCTATCTGCCAATATTTTAGTAAAAATCTTATAATCTGTATTTAACAGTGATATAGGCCTATAGTTTTTTGGCTGAATATGATCTTGATCCTCCTTTGGGATCAGGAAAATAAATGCTGTTCTCCAGGAAGGAGGCACTTGTCCTCCAGTTTGTATTTTATTAAATAATTCTTTAAGTGGTTCCACCATTTCTGCCTGCAAATTTATATAATAAACCGCTGTCAGTCCATCCGTCCCAGGGGCTTTTCCCACCTTCAGTTGCTTAATTAATTAATTAATTAATTAATTAATTAATCAATCAAATTTCTATACCGCCCTACTCCCGAAGGACTCAGGGCGGTGAACAGCCAAGATAAAATACAGATAATACAAATATTAAAAAATCCCTTAAAATTATTAAATATTTTGGCTGAAACACAGATTAAAACACCCAATTTATAAAATCACGAATTAAAAATTTAAAAGAGGAGAGTTAGACCAGGCCAGCCTGCTGAAATAAAAAAGTTTTGAGAGCACGACGAAATG